GTAGTCCTGGAACCATCACACTGGGACGTCCCGAAGCGGTGCATGCTGGGTAGCTTGGTTCCATCTGCCGCCTCTCATCCTGGTTACTCACAGATGGAGCGTTTTCACTGTCTCTGCAGGGAATTGTTCAGCTCTATTATCCCACCACTAAAAGACATACTGTAGCAACGCGCCAGTAATAAATCAAGTCTGGATTACAACTTTGGTCTAAATCAGGAAACACAAGTGCATAATATTAGATACAGACGTGCTCATTAAAAACAAACTGTAAGATGCTCAATAACTTGTGTAGCATTTTTAAATAAAGTTCAGCATATTTTAGACCAAATACTTGTCTTGAACAAATCTTTATACATTTATCCTGACTTGGGACTGATGCAAACAGTTGGTTTGTGTCAGTACACAGGTTAAAAATGAATTAAAACAAGGATTTTCTAACGGATAAAGTTTTTTTTATGTTGTTTTTTTAAAGATTTCCCCAGGTTTAACTTGAGGCTTAACTCTGTCTCTGGTTCTGTTATTGTGCTATTGTCATTGTGTGTTCTGAATACTGTACTGAACATCTGCTGGACGTATATAAGAATTTCACTGCATGTAACATGTATTTGGTAAACAATAATAAACTAAACTAAAGGTTTGAGTGATGTCTTTCACATTGGGGAAGCTCATTTTAATCATACGTTTAACATCAAAACAAATGAATTATTTCACCCAATATGGCCAGTTGTTGTTGTAGCTGATAATTTATTTATTTGAAACGTATTCAAAACCATAAATGATGAAAAGCCACAGCGCTATTAAAGAAAAGTGGCACTATATCATATTTGAAAGTTATTCATCCAACACATACATTATATACACTTCTTTTTAAAACAGCCTGAACTGTATTACCTCAAGAGAACACCATGTAAATTATGTTTTCAATTTAATAGAATTGTGAATGAACTTGTAAAATACATGGATTTCACTTTATTGTGTTGAGACAAATGAATCTATTGTAAAACGTGGGTAAATAGCTGTGGTTTTATCCGGAGCAGATACATGTTATTTGGAGCAGTCTGGTGCTTTTGTTTGATCAGTTTGATGTTAAAGTTGCGTCTGTAAGAGCCTCCAGTCCCAGAGCTGATGCCACATGTGCCCTTGTCAGCTGCTCGTGCTGCAGGGGACTTTCACATGTTCTGTGCTTTTGTCTGGAAATAAAAACCTGTCATTTCCTCTTGCATGTATGAAGATTCAGCAGAGTACGTGCAACAAAGGAGAACAAAAAGATGTTTGAAGTATCTTATGCCTAAAATACAGGAAAAATATCAACGCATGAGTAGTTTTGTATAAAAATGTACTAATTACAATTTGTTATTTTCCTGTTGCAAGATAATCTGGCATAAACAAAGCTCTGAAGAGTCCTTTTTAATCAGGGATGTGTGACTGATGTTGATAACTATATTAAGTATATACAATTTTTACATTATTTCTTCAGTCAAAAAACAATATTCATGATTCTAATATATATTCTAATCATATAGTTTTAGGATTAAGATTTTAATTAAACTTAAAAATAACCACAAACGCTGTATTTATGGTTTAAAGGAAAAAAAATACAACGTTGTAACAGTGCAACCATTCAATATTATTTTTCTTATGTATTGTCCATCTTTTCATCCTTTCACAAATTCTACCTGCACCAGTCTCGAGTCATTCTTATAAAAAATGCTCAAATGATATTTTTTAGCTCCATTGTTTGAACTTTGTCTCGAGTGGAGCCACCTGCAGCTGGGAGGCGGCGCCGCGGTCGTTCAGGGTCAAAGATGAAGGTTTGGCTCTTCTAAACCGCTCTGATTTAAGTTTAGTGACAGATTCTTCTTTCCTCTGGCTCCAGTCCACTGCACAGATGTAGCTGCTGTGGGGCTGAGGTCGTCACAAAAACAACTAGAATTGACAACAAGTGATGTCAATTCTAGGTGGAACAGTGTGTGCAGAGGGACACAATATATATTCAGTTAAGTGACAATATGTGACCAAAAGAGACTGCTGAGTTACTAAAACTTAATTATTTCACATGTCGTCAATCAATCTGACAGTGTAATAATAAATCGACGATATGAAAGAGTTGCCTCATATATTGCCTCTGTAACTATCATATTTCCTCATAACTATTGTTTTTTTTAGACCAGCTTTGGTTTTGTGTGTGCATGGTCACAGTGAATGTCATTCTGTACTTCTCGTGTCCAACCATAACGTATGAACTTTACCAAACTTTTGAAAACTCAGCAATTCAGCATTATAAATATTTGAGTATTCCCATTGGTCCATGCCAGTTTTTTCTTCTTCCAACTCCATTTTGAGCCGATACATTCTAAATAAAGTTAATATATTCATAGATATATCTCCACATGGCAATATTGACAATGTGTATTTGTCTATGCTTCTAACTAATTGATAGGATAATTTCAATATTTATGCAAGTTTTTATAAAATTGGTAATCCATCCACTCAAACATTAAATAGGACTTTCAGTTATGAGAATTTTAACTGATAACCTTTATTTAGCCAGGTAAACTTTTGTTCATTCAAAAAGACTGTATTTTCTGCAAACTATGTACACATGCTGATGGGAGGAGCCTAAGAGGTAGAGGCTTTTGGGGTGAGTTTTGTCTCAAAGGCAGACGTGTTGAACAGGTAATAACATTGTAACGCCAAAGGGTGAGAGGGTTTGTCTTGGCTCAGAGCGGAGACAGTTGAGTTTAATGTGGATTTAATGTGAGAAAAGTATCAGTTTCAGTCAGTTATACAGCCAGCTGAACCCAAATACTTGAATAAATATGTTCCATTAACTTTAACTTGGTGGCCATACCTGCATGTGAAAGCCTCGTGAGATCTCATTAGTTAAGCAGGGCATCCCATGGTTAGTACATGAATGGGGGACTGCTGGGAACAACGGGGGTCACAGCGGGGCGGCACAGGCTATGAAGTGCTAAACTGTTGTGTCCTAAGGCAAGACACTTCAGACAGTGCGTAGTTTGAGTCTAGCCTGAAATCATTGTTTGTGGTCTGATGTGTCGATAGCTCAGTTTGGCAGTGTTTCTTTCTTTCCCAGGGCAGCTGTGGCTAAAGTAGTATTCTGTGTGTCCTCGCTTGTGTTGGCCAAGTCGTTATTGTAAATGAGAATGTGTGTTTTGCCTACCTGGTAAAATGTTGAAGTGGTCCCTAAAGTGCGATAAATATGATAATGATATAATGCATTTATAAAACCAATGCCTCATGTGATACTTTGCTTGAGTTATTCTATGAAACCCTATTTTTGTACAAATGATGTACAATTAAACATAATATTCCTCGTACAACCATGTGTATGCAGTAAATCAGAATTCTATATATTCTAATTTAAGATTCACAATGCATTAATTAAACATTTTGATGCCAGAATAAACTCTACAACTCATCTCTATTTCCATCCATCGTGGAGTGGTTTGCAGACTCCCTTGATGTGGAGTTTGCTGGAGCAGAACAGATTCTCGAGTCTCGTCCTCACGTCTCAGTTTAAGTGTGTGTGTGAAAATACGCCTCCCTCGCGTCAGCTCCTCTGTCGGGAAAAAGGGAAAAGTATTTGTTGATAATTTGACCAGGAATAATTCACCGGTTCAAAGCTTTGTCTAAACGCCACATTCCTGCTGGACGTGACGCCGTCGCCGTGACGAACACTTAATGAACGGAAAATGCTATAAAATCCAAACTGCAGCCACATTAACTTTTGTAGTTTCTGTCTCGCTGCTGTTGTTTTGGACTATCCAGGCCACCATAGTTCACATATATGAAACTGCATTAGAATATAACTATTATTCTGTTCAATTGCTTGGTTTCTTTTTTATAATGCCACTCTAACTTTCTATAGCTTATATTAGACTAATCTTTAGGTCTGTCAATGTCAACTTTATTTATGTAGCACTTTTTATTACTGGAATTAATTACTAGAATCAATAACTGATGAATTAAACGATATAGTTTTAGCCTCAATATGACTCGTCTGTCAGTTTGGGCCTCCTTCATGGCACTAAGGAAACGTGGATGAAATCTATGATGCATCATTTTCACATTTAGTTTTGGCTGGGTAGCACATCATTAAAAAGGTCAGGAAGTTTGGACAGTTATACTCACTTTACTTTATATTATTTGGCTGCTGAATAGTCATTTTTTAAACAAAAAGTAGCAGTAGCAGCACAACTTTCTTTGCGACAATTGTATTAATATCTTAATTACAGAGCTATAAAGTGTTACATAGTAAAAATCTGTCAAATAAACGTACACTTGTTCATAAAAAGGGCGACAGTAGCTCAGTTGGTAGAGCATTGGCCTTTGGGCCTGAAGGTCGTGGGTTCGAGCCCACCGTAAGACCTACTTCACGACTCCCACTGATGACTGCTGTCGTTGTGTCCTTGGGCAAGACACTTAACCCTACTTTGCCCAAAGCCCCAACTGAAAGATCTCAGCTCCTGTGGACTCTCCACCTGCAGGAGGATCAGTGAGGGGCTGGTGCTCTGTGGACTGGGTGCAGCTCTGACTGCCACCCCCCCGACCCAGAAAGGGAAAGAAAATGGATGGATGGATGGATTGTTCATCAGAATCAGAATCAGAATCATTTTTATTGCCACGTAAGTAACAGGAGGTCACAGACTAGGAAATTGCTTTGGCTCAGTGCAACAGTCAAAAAGAGATAATAAAAATAAGAATAAAAAACACTTCTAAAGAATAAATTTAAATTTAAAATAGAGTTACAGTTACTATTTACAATATACAAGTGCACATGGTGCACACAATGTAAGGTGTCATATCTGTCCTTAAGAGCTATTCTACTGTATTTCCCATTAAAGCTGGGTTACCTAACTTTTGAACCATATCATTTTTTACTATTTTATATTGGCTCTCAAAAGTTATCAAATTGAACTTTAACACAAATATCCTCCTTGTGTTTGTCCGCAGTCTTGTCCCTCCAAGCCGCCGCAGAAATGCAGTTCACAAAGGAGCCCAAGTCCCAGGATGCTTTGCACGGCCGGAGCGCCATGCTGCGGTGTGAGGTCAGCGAGCCGGCGGACGTGACCTACAGCTGGACTCATGACGGCGTGTCGCTGCAGAACTCAGAGCGGCGCTTTCAGGAGGGCAGCAACCTCAAGTTCACCTCCATCGACCGTAAACTGGACTCAGGGAACTTTGTGTGTCGGGCGTCCAACATGGCAACCGGGGAATTTCTCATGTCCACCAACGCCTCCTTCAATATCAAATGTAAGTACAATTATTATTTTTATTTTTTTGGCTTGTTGTTGAGTTGAGTGCATTGACCAATATGAATTCAACAATATTAAGCTGTTGTCGAGATTATTATTATGATTTGTCTGTATGCTAATTATTCTGAAATGTGTTAGCACATTTTTTGGTCAAGCAACGGAAAAAAATAACACAATTATTGCCACCATTTCAGTTAAGGTTGTCAAAAGAATCAAGGCAATGAGTTCTAAAACGAGTAGCAAATCTACAAACTAATTTGAGCAAGTAACGATACTAAAAAAAATGCATAAAAATTACAAATTATGACATTTCTGGAGAATGTATTGATCAATTACCACGAATGTGCATAAAACCTTATGGCCCCATTAATAAAAGTATAATTTTCAGTTTTGAGTTCTAGTAGCAAAATGGTTTGAAATATAGTATAATTACAACACTATTCTGAATAGTCAAAAAATGTGTATAACTATGCTTAAAGGATAGGATTTTCCTTCACTAATGTAAAACTGACAATGGGGCTGAAAACTTAAATAATGCAGCCGTGGCCATAATTTAAACATGTTTTATTGGCTTAGTAAAACATCTCAAAGCTAACATTTACTGTACTATGACAATGAATGGCTTTTTCTGTCTGAAATTGAGGCTGTGTATCTTTTGAATAGATCGTAGACTAATGAAAACCTCCAAATATCCTGAGAACAAATTAACAGCTGCTAAAGTTTCATTATGTGATCACATCTGTGCATCCAGTTTCTAGATGACAAACCTTGAACAATAGCAGTGGTATTGTATATCAGGAGTATATTGGCTAAAGGAATGTCTCCTCCTCCTCTCCAAAGGAAACTGGAGATTTGTGCCACCAAGCATGTGTCTCTTGTATCTTTGTTTTGTTTTTTTCATACACTTCCATAGGCCTTTTGTGTTTTAAAATTCTAAACCAGGCACTTCTTCTCATTAAGAAGCAACTACTTTATATCTTTTATAGAAGAGTGCTCTCTGGTTTAATGTATTGGTAAAGGCTTTGACTAAACCGTGGTGAGCTCTTGAGTTTCAGTGCAGTCTGGATTATAGCACACAGCCTCTTCTGGGATAATGAACAACATGCACCAGGCCCTGAGGAAGCAGCGAAACTGAAAAGCTTTTGTCTCTGTGCTCTGTTTGGGGAAATAGAGAGAAGGAGGGCTCCATCGTGAAAATGTCATTTAAGTTCACATGTGTAAGGCAGTTTTTTTCTGCTGGAGGGAGGTTACATCATGGTTCAAGACGTTTGCTTGTGCTGCTAATACACAAATAATACATTAACAAGCAAATTATTTAAAAAATAACTAAGATAGCAGTTTTGTTCTGTAAGAAACTGATTGATGTTAAGACAAGTACCTTTGCTCCTGGTTTTAGCAAGTAGCATAAGTTAATATCCAGGAGAAATATTTGATTGTATTTGTGCAATACCTGAAGTCACGATGATCATTTTTATTGCACAATCTACATTTAAGTGGGTGTTTATTTTTGTTAGCACTTTGTTTGAGTTGCCTTATGTATGTTAACATGTACACATTTCTGTATGATTTGATTTTATATTTACATTTATACAAATATGTGCCTTGAGTTATATTCTATGTCTACAATGTTTTGAGTTGGAAATGGAAAAGGGAAGGGATTCGAAGACCTCAATCAAATGATTTTGGTTTTGTTTGGTTTTGTTTGTGAGTTATTGAAGCTTTGTTCAAATCTGCCGACCGTGGATCTTTTGGTTATCAGGTGAATTCTGTGTAAATGAGGTGTAAAATATTGTCAAACGTATTAAACACTAATGCAGTTGGATTCTTATGCTTTTAATCATATAAGAAAAACATGTATTGCTGTAAAAATTGCAAACAAAAAATAAGACGGAACAAATACAAGGCCTAATTTTCTCAATTTCTGTTCAATCAATCAACTTTTATTTCTATAGCTCAGTTCATACAGAATGCAACCCAAAGTGCTTCACATTAGCAACGTTTAAACCCAATTTTAAAAACACACTGTAAAAACACTTTCATATATATCTATCCATCTGATCTTTACCCCAAGCCCAAAATGGCATGAAATATGAAAATCTCTATAATGTACCCACCGGGACAAATGTGTGGCTGGTTTATTTAAGCGTTGACCATTTTAAAAGTGGACTCTGCAATTTCTGAATCTCTGCAGACATGAGTTCCATCAGAGCTTTCCTGTGGTGCACTGAACATGATGGGCCCTGTTTATAACTGACACACTAACACAAATACAGAACGAGTTAGACATGAACCACCAGTTTGTTAAAAGCTTTTTATTGCGTCCCGGAATAACCCATAATACTCCGTCAGTTCATTGCGATTCCCACACAGAAGAGGGTATTACTGGCAGAGAAAAGACAAGGAAAAAGGCAAATGGAAGCGCTCTTCAGATGTGATAAAACTGTGGACTAATAAAGATAAGCTGAGGACAGGCTCATCCAGGATGGTGCTAATTGGGAACAATGTAATGTGGGCTTATAATAAATCTACTAATGAAGTGAAGTTTTGCAAATAAGCTTGTTGTTCTAAAGCAATAGCGTCGCCATGGATACAAGGATGTGCCAGGTCCCCCTTCAGAAGTTACGTGTTGCACCTTGTTAAAAGCGAAAAAGACCATACGTAATGTATAAATGTGTGATAAACTATAAACAGTGTCACATGATTACCATTGTATGAATGAGAGTTTCTAGTCGATACGAGACCAAGATACTTTACTTTATGTGGATATTTGACCCCAATCATAGAGAACCTGCACTTTGCTTTTTTGCAATCACATTTCCAGCCTACAATTTTTTAATTCCGAAAAAAAACCAAATTTTTAATGTATACGGTTAATATTAATTCTTCTTTTATTTGTTTATTTATTTCAAACATGCATGGGATATACAATTATTCACAGAAAAAAACTGATAATATGAGTAAACAATGACTATGGCTAAATCAGGCTATTTTACCAAAAAAAAAAGTACGGTTGGGGGATGTGTCCGAAGATAAACGATAATTGTACATGTTTAGCCCCATACACCCAGACCTATAGGCCCCAGCAGTGCAAAGACATAAACATTTTAAACTTATTACGATGACTGTACAGGACGAGTAAATAACACGTTTGAGTGCAAAGCTGCTTCATCATTTACATTTGTGTGGCAGATGGGGAGCTGAAGGGCACGTATCTGATCACACTGCGTATTTAGTACATTCACACGTGCCAATAATGTCGGCGCTCACAGACGACGCTTCACATGCAGCTAATGGATCCAGATCATAGGCTCATGTCAACACCGAGAATCAGACGCTTGTGTCTGAGGGAAATGGAAAAGCAACAGTGTGAACATATTTCAATAGGGTTTTTTTGTAAATCACATAGGCCTACAAAAGTTAAATTCTTTATTCAAAATGTGAATTGAAATGTTTTTGGTTGTATAGCCGCTGCCTGTTGCCTAAAGCCGCAAAGAGGCCAGTTGGGTCCGATGAAAGTGTATGACGCGCTAAATTAGTATAGAGAACAAACGGAGAGGCTGGATCCAGTTGCGATGTCAGTTAATTCATAATAAACGCTGCGGTCACAGGCCAAAATGCGTGGTGAATACAGAAAATATAATTGAATAAACTTAAGCAAGAAAAAAAGCAAAAATAAATCAAACAAAACAATAATGGCGGTCAACAAAAATTATGGCCTCCCAAACAGACCTGTCTCCTCTTTTTCGTGCCCCCTCAGGTGTATGTCCATTCATAATCTCGTGTACCGCGCCCAAACACACATGCACGCCCACACACACGCCTACCACCACACACACACACACAGGCGCTCTCACGTACACGCCCACACACACATGCACGCCCACAATACATTACTCCTCCATCAGCCAAACATTCATTTATTCACACAGTGCCCAAACGTGTCTCCTACAGGTTGGGTTACAGATCAAATCACGAGAATTGACAGACGTGTACAGTAAAGGTAGCATCCATGGAGAGAACCTGTTTGTTTTTGTCTTCTCACATCAATTTTGGTTGTCTAAAAGTTCGTTTCCTGAATCCTCTAAGCTTCAGTGGACCAAAGCTGTAAAAATGTAACACTTCAAAGTTCTTTCCTTCTGTTATATTTAAGCCCATAAAAACGCTGGTACATGTCGAAACTCAACTCGCACAAGATAAATGATCCATCAGGTTTATCTTACTGCATGAGTCCAGTGGGAATTTTGGATTTGAGTTTTCATCCTCGGAGGTTTCTGTAGTTTTATAGTCTGAATTATTCTGGCCCATAAAAAATTATAGACAAAGAATAGAACTAGGTCGGTTGCATTTTTTTTCATCATAAAATGGTCAAATTTAGTTTTTAATTGTACAATGCTAAACCTGGTTGTTGTTCCCTTGCATTGTTAACTTTTTTTCTCTTGAATACAAATTGTGACATTCTTTGCACCTATTGTAACTCTATCATAAGACAAATGATCCAACACCTGCTATATATTGTTACATATGTCCAGTGGGAATATTAAGTTTGAGTTTTGATCCTAAGGGGCTTCTGTAGTTGGAGATGCCTGTATAATTCAAGCCCATTTTTCAAACTTGAGAAGGCTGGAAAGTGGGTCCCTTCATAATTTATCATTTCAACAAAACAATTGTTCCCCATTTTTTTTTCGTCCCCAAGTTCTCTGTGTTTGGTTGATTTGTTTAAGGCTCTTAAGTGAAAAGTTGTGTGTACTTTATATTTCATCTTAAATGCACTATCGTATATACTTATTTCACTTTCAACACCTTTTTATGCCATTTTACTTTATACCTTTTTGAGCTACTGTGTCCAAGTAATTTCCCTTGTGGATTTCCCCCTTGTGAATTTTGTCTAAAAGAAAAACGACAATAGTGGTACACTTTTGTCGTCCGCAAAATATTATTGCACAATTTTCTGAATTTAAGGTGAAGTAATGCTTCCTTTGAGATCAATAATGTATCCTG